TGTCAGTGGTGTCAGCACGGTAATTGACTGAAAATTTATTGAAGGGGAAATCAAGGTATCATCTATTCATCTTAAATTGCCGTCAAAAAGTAAAATAAATTTAGGAAAAGTACTCTGAAACAAACACACCATCTTCACTTCAGGAAAAATAAACCGTAGTTACGTTATTTTTATTGATATTTAGTAGTGTTATAAGGGTAATTTTTTTATATTATTTTTTATATAATTTTTATATATTATTAAGTAAATAAATAAATTTAATATTATAAGCTTTATATAAATAAAAAAATTAATTATTTAAATAATATATCAAATTATATTAAAAATAATATAAAATATTATCTCAAAATTATTTTTCATTAAATTTTATCTTTTAGTATTGTTTTCAATTAGACTATTTATGCCATAAGGTAAGACTTCAAATTATTTAATTGAAAAGGTAACGTCACACTTTACGTTTTGAATTTTGGTGTGGTAGAATGGTTTAAGAAGAAGTCGGTGTTGTCAATCTAGAAGGTGTCTCTGACTGATTGATTGTCCATCCCCAATTTTTATTATCAAAATGATTTTGAGTTATCTAATTCTTTTTGATAGGTTGAACTATTTAATTTTTTTTTATAGAAGAAAAATTGTGAACTATTTAATTAATTGTAAAGATTAATCAGTACTAATTGAATCAATAAAAAAATAAATATTTAAAATTATATTATTTAAATAAAGTACTATAAAACTTTATTTTTATTTTAAAATTTAAGATGTTTTAGACTAAATTGTTCAAAATTATTCCATTTAAAATATTATTAAATAGAGATAATTCCTTAATAGTAAAAATTATATTTTATTTTGATAATTCATATTTTGTAGCTCTATATAACATGATTCTTTTATTATAAATAAAAATATATATTAAGTATAAATGAATTTTTTAAAATAAAAATATATATTATGTCTAGAGATTAATATTAGAAGAATTAATTTTTTTAAATATAACAAATTAATGTAAGAATATGTACTTAATATGACTTAAAAAATTAATATTAAATTATGAAAAATTAACTCGAGATACATAACCATAAATATAAAAAAATAAAAGAAATAAATATCAAACAATCCTTCGAATTAAAAAAAGATATTAAACAATCCAAACATTTTCGGAAATTAATAAAATGAAGATGAAAATAAAGAAAAAGGTAAAGAGAAATTGAGTTAGATTTAAAACAATCTAATTGTCACGTGTAAACAGTGAACCCCACATAGACGCGTCCGGATTCTCCCAACACAATTTCGACCTAAAAGAATAAAAATAAATAGAAATAACGAAACAAAAATTCAAGAAGCTGTGACCGCAATTCCGTCACAGCACAGCTTTCCCCAAGTAGGTGGGAAAATAAAAAGGGATTGACGGCGGAGAAAACGGAGCAGCAAAATTTGCAAAAGCTGCTAAACAATTCTCTCACAGCCTCCCCACATAGCTGGGGAAAAAACAGGGTTGACAGCTGAGATTTGAGAGCCGCCCCCCCTTCTCTCTCTTAAAAGATTCAACCTTTTTCTCTCCTTCTCTCTAAACCTCTTCACTTTCTCAGACCCAGTCCATCCCCCATTTTCAGGTACTCCTTTTCTCCTTGATCCCTTTTGGGGACCATGTATCAATCTCATTTTATACTGGGTTTAAGCCGTTTTGCAGTGGTTTTGCTATGTTGAAAATTTTCATCCGTGTTTGGACTAATGAGTGTTTTTCTGTTGGTTTTTTTGATGATTTGAAACATGGGGTTGCTGTTTGTTGTGTTAGATGTGGAAAGAATTGTGTGATTGTATTGGGTAATCATGTTTTAGTTCTAAAGTTGTGATTTTTATGGTGGGTTTCTTGTTTGGGTGACGGAATGGAGAATATGGTATATTGAAGGTTCGATTTTTGTGTAATTTGTCTGTGTGGAATGGAGATCCTTTTGATTTTCTTGGTTTTACAATTTTTTTATTGCAGAGGAAAGCTTTTTTTATGTATAATTTTGCGTTTAATGTTCTGATTCACAAAGGGGAGCAATTTGACCCTGGTTGGAGTTATCTTTGGATTGACTGCATGTGGTTTGGTTTGCGTGTGGAGTCCACTTTGTCATAAAATTGAGCTATAGTGTTGCTTTGGTTTCTATATATTGGAGCAGACTAATCCTCCAATTATGGATTGGTTGGTTCAACTCAAAGTTTGTTTTTTGGGTTGATTGGAGCATCCCACTTTTTCTATTTGCTGCCTCTGTATATATGAAGAAATCTGTGTGTGAAAACATCAATTTCTAGATGGTAATGTGCATTGTCTCTTATCAAACATGAGGTTTTATTCAAAATTTATTTTAACTTGTTATAGATAATTGCAACTTTGACCAGGTTTGTTTGCTTTTGGTGATTCATATTCCTGTGCTTTCTGGCACAGAAATGTCCACATGATGTTCTTTTTCAAATCCTTCCTTTCTTGAGATGTTTAGGACGTTCTTTTGTTGATGTTTGACAGCATAACTTTTTCAAGTTTTTCATCATCCTCAAAGACATTGGTATTTGCAGATTATGTTGCGAGCAAAGCATATCAGTAACCTTTCCAGCAGTGCAAGAACTTTTTTGTTTAGTGGCTCACGAGGTACTGCAGCAGATGGAAGTTCATGCTCTTGCCCTGACGAAGAGTCTTGTGTTTCAAGACGGCAGCAGCCAAGAGATGAAATTATCTCCAAAACCCCAGCTAGAAATGCCCTGCCTTTGGGTGATGCATCCAAAACAGATATTCCCCCCAAAGCTGAGAGTACGCCACAGGTTATATCTACTCCTGCTTCTTTGGGAAGATCTAATTGCATAAATTATGGTAACAGCAATGATGCTGTTCAACAGGATGTACATTCATCACCTCCTATCTCTGACCAGTTTGTTAAAGCTGGCATTGCAGCTGTTTCTGTCTTATCTGATTTAATGAGTTATAAGCTTGCTTTATCAGATGGGAATGGAATATTTAGCTCATCTAGAAACTATGTGGTTGAGCCTACCAAGCGGCAATCAAATGTACAATCGTCAGCTGTCAAACCCATCAGAAGAGAGAATTTTGCAAAAGCCTATTCTAAACCATCTTCTGAGATACCATCAGGTTCAAATTCTACCATTAGCTACCATGGTTCAAAAGATAGAAGTAGCAAAACCAATTCTGGTAGGGGTTTCAAGCAAGTTTCAAATACTGCAGCAGGAGGTTCTTCTGAAATTCATAGGTCTTCTACAGATGCTTGTGATAGAAGCAAGACCATACCAGAGAAAGTAAAGTCTCATACCCATCACTTCATGTCAAATTTGACTACCAATGTGCAAGCTTCTGATGCAAAGATTTTGGACAGTGCTAGACCAGGTTTCAACAGGCCTTCAAGAGATATGAGAATGCCTACAGGAGTTGCTAATGTGGTCAGGCCATCAAGAAGCAATGGGTATGTAGTGGAAAGTGTCTCTCACATGCTGCGACAGATGAACTGGGGTCCAACTGCAGAGCAAGCTCTTGAAAATCTCAACTTTTCGATGGATGCATATCAAGCAAACCAAGTTCTAAAGAAGTTGCAAGATCACAACGTTGCCCTTGGATTTTTCTATTGGTTGAAACGGCAAGCTGGATTCAAGCATGATGGGCATACTTACACCACCATGGTGGGCATTCTTGGTCGTGCAAAGCAGTTTGGCACAATAAACATGTTACTCAATCAGATGTTTAGGGATGGTTGTGAGCCGAATGTTGTTACATATAACCGTCTCATTCACAGTTATGGACGTGCCAACTACTTAAATGAAGCAATCAATGTGTTCAATCAGATGCAGGGCACTGGTGTTGAACCTGATCACGTCACTTATTGCACTCTTATTGATATACATGCTAAAGCTGGTTTTCTTGATGTTGCCATGGACATGTACCAAAGAATGCAGGTAGCTGGTCTTTCTCCTGACACGTTTACGTACAGTGTGATGATCAATTGCCTAGGAAAAGCGGGTCACTTAGCTTCTGCTCAAAGGCTCTTTTGTGAGATGGTTGATCAGGGATGTGTTCCTAATTTAGTCACCTATAATATATTGATTGCTCTGCAAGCCAAAGCAAGGAACTACAAGAGTGCCTTAAAGCTTTACCGCGATGTGCAGAATGCTGGATATGAACCTGACAAAGTGACATACAGTATTGTAATGGAGGTGCTTGGACATTGTGGATATCTTGATGAAGCAGAAGCCCTTTTTACTGAAATGAAACAGAAAAACTGGGTACCTGATGAACCTGTTTATGGTCTGCTAGTTGACTTGTGGGGAAAATCGGGTAATGTGGAAAAGGCCCAGGCGTGGTATCACGCTATGCTACATGCAGGTTTGCGTCCTAATGTGCCTACATGCAACTCATTGCTTACTGCCTTTCTTAGGGTGCATAGGCTATCTGATGCTTATAACTTGCTGCAAAGCATGCTTGCTTTCGGTCTAAACCCTTCTTTGCAGACCTATACCTTGCTCCTGAGCTGTTGTACTGAAGCCAGGTCATCATATGACTTGGGTCTTCGTTGCCAGCTCATGGCCATCACAGGCCACCCTGCACATATGTTCCTGCTGTCGATGCCATCAGCAGGACCTGATGGTCAAAATGTGCGGGATCATGTCAGCAAGTTCTTGGATGTGATGCACAGTGAGGATAGAGAGAGCAAGCGGGGGCTTATAGATGCTGTGGTGGATTTTCTTCATAAGTCAGGTCTGAAGGAGGAGGCTGGATCAGTCTGGGAGGTGGCTGCACAGAAGAATGTCTATCCAGACGCTGTAAAAGAGAAAAGTTCATGTTATTGGCTGATTAACCTTCATGTTATGTCTGAAGGCACTGCTTTAACTGCATTGTCTAGGACGCTTGCCTGGTTCCGTCGTCAGATGTTACTCTCTGGTGTTTGTCCCAGCCGAATTGATATAGTGACTGGATGGGGTCGACGCAGCAGGGTGATGGGATCATCTCTTGTGAGGCAGTCAGTTCAGGAGCTGCTCAATATCTTTAGTTTTCCTTTCTTCACTGAGAACGGCAACTCTGGATGTTTCATAGGTCGTGGTGAGCCGCTTAACAGGTGGTTATTGCAGTCTTACGTGGAGCGCATGCATTTGCTTTAGTTATCATTTCGGAGCTTTCACTTAAGCTTAAACAGAGATTTTGCTGTGGTAAGTAGTAGGATTGAGGTTTTTCATGTATTTAACTTCGCATGTAGGTTTTATCAAGTTAAACTAAATTATAAATTGGTGCCAGCTTTCAACTGTGCCATCTTTCATTTCAGCCTTTGGTTGAAAATGATGAGATTTCTTTTTGTACATATTAACCATTTACTTTGGTTTGGCAACTTTTTGAGTATTTGAACTACCAATCCGAGTTTTCACTTGCAGTTGGCTGACTACTAATGGTCAATGGGTTAGTGACAAGATTGTTATGGTGTTTACCATCACAGGAGTGATAATATTAAATTTCTTCAGAGATGTTTCTTTCTTCTCCTGCCTCTATGATCACTCCATATAATATTCACATGGTTGACTGAGGAACTCAGGGTCCTTATTTCAGATGTGTTCTGGCTTCTGTTCCCTTCACACCTTCATCTGGTGGAAACAAATCTAACATACAAAATGCCTCTAGGCCCAGATAAATCTTCAATCTGTGGAACATCCCTTTCTATATCAGTTACAAGTAAACATCAATCAGAATATTAGATCTCAAATTTGTCTTTTTGGTTAACATCACATACTTATAATTGAACATGACATTTCACAGTTGTTTGGTTGATGGATCTCATATGATTGAATGGT